ATCGAACGGTCGGCGACACAGTCAGTCACGTACCCCCGACCCCCCGCCCCCCACAAGTGAAGTCCTGGCTGACCGCACCATTTTCATACGGGTCAGTGCAGCCATCCGCACTTGTCGGCTAAGGCTGCATACAGCCCTCGAGGCATGCGTGCCAGACAGCGCTGGCAGAAGGAGCTGCGTCCCACCAGGCCAAATCCTTCGCCTTGGCTCTTTGGGTCCTGGACGAACGGGGCATCCCGGCAGTAGGGAACTTGACGATTCTCCACCATGCCGCTGACGGTGTGGACCCGCCGGCTCTGGACGAACCATCTCGCTTCTGCCTCCGCACTAGCTTCAGCCAGCACGCCTTCCAAATCACTGCCCATAGCCGAACAGTCTGATGCTGAGGATGAGGTCGTAGACGATGACACGGACTGGACATCATCATCCTCCTTGGGCTCGGGCGGTGTGGCGTTGTCCAGCTCCTCATCCTTCACTTGGCCGGCCTCCGCGGCTACCTGTGAAGCTGCAGCCGCCGCGGCGCCTTCAGGCTCAGGGGACCACCCAGGATCCTGTGCCAAGGCTGCCTCCAGCGGGCCGAAGCTCTCATTCATCTGGGCCAGCTCCTGCCAGGTCCATGCATCACGGGCCACGAGCCCCTGTGCATTAAGGGCCAACTCTGGGAGTTTGCGGCGCAGCAAATGCAGGAACCTCTGGATCAGGGCGCGTTTGACAGCGGCCGAGTGAATCACTCGTTGACCTGCATAATGCACGCCCATAGACCATGTAGCCTTGCTCTTCCGCACCGGCTGGGGTCCTCCTGCACCCGGAATCTCCTGCCAGTTGCCCACGGCCTGTTGGTTAGATGGCTGCAAGCCACACACCAACCCCATGGTCGGCAGGAACCGCCGGAGTCGATTGTACCCTGCACTGCGGGCCTGGGCATGGTCAACATTCATGGTGAGGAGGGCACCACGGAGCAACTCCAAATACCTGCCCCGGGACATCTTGCGGTCAATGAGCCAGGCCGTATTTTCTGTGACCTCCCAGAGGTCATCAGCACTCAGTTGCATTGAAGGCCACAAGAAATTCCGTGCCGGGTCCAGCTCAACAGTCACGAAGTCCCGCACGATCCGCTGCAAGCTGAGGCCTTGGAACTCAAGCTCAGGCATGGCCCAGGCATAGGGCGGACGCGCGCCTTTGCGCCGGGCTTTGCCTTGTGAGCACTCAAAGATCAAACATTGTGGGTGCGCCTCAATGTAGCGTGACCGTTGAAAATGTTCAAAGCGCACGCACGAGACAGCGGCCCACACCAGAAAGGTCAAAATCAGCAGGTGCGTACCGGAGGACTGCTTCATCATCAAAAGGAGATTCACCATCTCCCATGACTGCAATTCCGTCCTCTGCTGCACCTGATGATCAGGGGGCAATAACCGGAACGGCTGGGTCAACCAATGATCCGTGTTGAAGGGGAGGCCAAAGTTCAGGCGGAACCAGTTGAGGGCCTGATACATGGATGAGGCTGCTGTTGGGCCACCCTGGGCCACCATACGCAAGAACTCACCCAGTTGAAGCGGCGTGGGTGCATTGACTGTATATTGCTTGCTGGCTGCATAGCGTAACCACCGTCGCAAAGCTGCCAGTAATGCCCCAATGCGCTGCTCTGTAAGCCTCCCCGTGGTCTGCATCACCTGGTCCTTGAGCTGTTGGAGCCGCACCGGGTCGCCGAGGTCAGCCCAGGTGACACCCAGTTCCTCCAGATTGAGGAAATTGGTCACCAAAACATCAAATAGGGCCTGCGTCTTTGTGGCCTTCTTGGCCACCTCTTTGGTGTGTGGGTCCGATGCCGCGGCCGAATGCAGCATCGGTGGCCGCCCTGGGATCCCGGTCGCCAGGAGCTGCCGTACCCTGCCTTTAGGGCCCTCCTCGGACGGCTGGGCCACCACCGAATGGGTCTCCACCACAGAGCGCCTATTGCCCACCACGGCCTGCAAGACCCGTCGGTGATGATCATTGGCTCGACGATGGGCCAATGTCCATAGAGCGCTGACCTGAAAGGCCTCCTCCGAGCCGAGGGCCCCTTGCCTGGCCTCCAGCTCGCCCACCAAAGCTCCGCCATTGTCCCAAATGCCCACCACGTCCTGACAGGTTTGTACACCATTGTGACAAAACAGGGATACCAGGGCATCGGAGTGGTCAGCGACCAATTCCAAGAGTGCCGCCTCCATGGCCTGGTCTGGTTGCCGAATGGCCATCACCTGACGCCGCACCCCGGCAGGCGAGCGAGATGGTGACCGTGGTCGACGGCGATCTGGAGGCGGGCCTGGCGGAGGGGTAGGGCCAGCAGCCGCACTACCCTGTCGAACTGGGGGCGGAGCTACCGGAGGCTGCTTGGGGGGAGCTGGACAACTGCTCAATGATGAGCTCCCTGGTCCGCTCGACGGACAATCCGAGGACCTCCGCGACCTCCTCAATGGGGACCTGGCCGGTGGCATCTTGGAAATGGGGTGGATTGGACCTGTCACCCCACCCGGAGATCTCGACCTGGTCTTCGGCGTCGTGCCCTCCTTGGTCGAGGTACGCGGCATGGCCCTGATGCCACGTGACACCGCGAAACCGGCACTGGTCACAGACCAGCTCGAGCCGATCGCAGGTGGTGCACACCGCACCGAATGACTCGGGCTGCCGAGCGTAGCAGCCCTCACACCAGGAGGCCGTGTAGTCTCCGCAACACCGGCAGTGATCTGCCTCAAGATCTGGCCGCCGCTCAATAGATGCCCACACGGCCACAATATATGCCGACCTCGCGCCAAGGTCAGCTCGTCGCTCTTCCGGCGACAACGTGGAGGGATCCACGCCCCGATGCGACCTGCGCCACCGTCTCGCTCCCGGGTTCCAAACCGCGAGAGACGATCTTGAGCCAAAATGGCATCAAGATCAGGAGTAACCCCTACATGTTTCAAATCCCAAAATGTCCCTACCCAACCAGCCATTCATTTTGTGGAGATAACCTTTCTCGGGCCACCCCCCCGAACCCCGACCGACTTCACACATAGACAATTTCAGCCACATTCAGATGAAGCAAAAGCCAAACAATGCACCAAAATTCGAGGTGGCCTGGGACCAAACGCTCGCTGCCCGAAACTATATGTTCAGGCCACCTCAGAAATGAAGATATGCGAAGCAAGGGTCCTGAGGTGTCTCTGCGACAAGGCTTTTGTTAAAACAGACAATTTTTCAAGCTAAATTCAAGGTGGCCTGAGACCAGGGTTGCTGCCCTAAAACACTCTGTTCAGGCCACCTTAAAAATGAAGGTCTGCGAAGCGAGAGCAGCGGACGCACATTGTCCTTCTGCTGCTTGAACGTGGCCTTTTGTTTACTTAAAAGTTCAAGACCTCCCAGCTGTTTCCACCTCTTCGCTTCCCAGTCTACCCAGGGTTCATATAGGGGGCCAGGCCATTTTCAGAATCTTCTGGGTTTGAGCTGTTCGAGTTCCTATTGAAGGGTATAGTTGGCGAGCGCGTCACCACCCGCTCCAAAAGCATCAAAGCATCACCCCCCAGAGTTTACGTATATCTTTCTCCAAGAGTTTACGTATACCTTTCTCGGGCCACCCCCCCCGACCCCCGACCGACTTCACACATAGATAATTCCCATCCACATTCAGATGAAGCAGAAGCCAAACAATGCACCAAAATTCGAGGTGGCCTGGGACCAGAGGCTCGCTGCCCGAAACTATATGTTCAGGCCACCTCAAAAATGAAGATATGCGAAGCAAGGGTCCTGAGGTGTCTCTGTGATAAGGCTTTTGTTAAAACAGACAGTTTTTCAAACTAAATTCAAGGTGGCCTGAGACCAGGGTTTGCTGCCCTAAAACACTCTGTTCAGGCCACCAAAAATGAAGGTCTGCGAAGCGAGAGCAGAGGATGCACATTGTCCTTCTGCTGCTTGAATGTGGCCTTTTGTTTACTTAAAAGTTCAAGACCTCCCAGCTGTTTCCACCTCTTCGCTTCCCAGTCTTC